AAAGCAGTAGCACATGACGCAAGACTTCAGGCAAATGAATCCCTCTTGTCTGAAATAAAACATTTGTGTATTGATAAGCACGTTTTATAAGCAATGGTAGCAAGATTCTCCATGTATTTGGTTAAAGTGATAATTTAGCAGCAGATACTTACCGTCGCATTTCGTTTTTTTTTAATTATAATTTATATTGTCAGAACTAGCAACATGTCTCTTCACTCAACAATAATTACAAAAGTGAAAAAGAAATGATAAATTGCTTTTATTTTGGTGAAACTAAAAATTAATTCAGCACATATTTTTTTTACAGCGTTGAAGTCCAGCTCCAAAGGACAGCTGACGATCGTAGCCGACATAGATATACAGACTAGATAGGGCAGCTGTTTAGCGACGGCATGCAGAGGGCGCCGCCATGTTGGGGCAGCCCTCGGCGGGGCAGCTCTGTGTAAGTGAACGGGAAAATGGGAAAGTTTACGGCACATTTTTTGGTATTTTTAGAGTGAATAGTGTTTGTCTCTGGAGCTCAGCTCATAGATTGAAGCTTGGAGAATGTCAAACGGAGGTTGAATTGTGCTCAACTAGTTTTGATTTAGATATATGAAGATAGAAAGGAGGGAGTGTTACCCGGATGGCGCCATTGTCTGACAGGTATGCTGCTTTGCATTTGAGGGTATTTAAGGGGTTGATAGTACATTTTGTTGGAAAAACATTATGTGGAAGTACAGTAGGATCTCATACCTTTATTTTCTTCCTTATTTACTATATAAACAACAAAAGATCTAGGCATTGAAAAGTGTAGTTTGTGATGCAAAATGCTGGTGCTAAAATGAGTTTTATTGTAGGCCTATGGTAGGTTAAATTATAGCACTATGTCAAATATATCCTCATTTCATATTTAAAAACACTTCAGCTTTTGAAAAGTTACTGTGCGCAAGACAGCAAAGCGCGTCAACACAGTCAGCAAGCCGCACAAGCTGGGGCGACATGTCTGCTTCAGTCCTCTGAAAATCTGCAACAGATATCAGCTGCACTGACTAGCAAGACCTACATTTTTACCACAAGCTTATATATCTTTGCTGTTGATAGGAAATGCTGCAATATAAGACTTGAAATTTAAGTCACATGCTGACACGCAGTCAGTGACTGCGTTATGTCTCTGAAGACTGACTATCTGTTCACCATTTTCTTGGAGCAGATATGATATGCTAGTGCAGCAGATCTGCATTTTATGATGTTATGGCCAGCAATGCTCAGCACAAAAATATTTACCTTTCTGCTGCAAATCTAAGCCACCCTGTGCAGCTGATGAGCACCTCTGCACTGGCAATATGTTATCGGCATTGCCGTCTGGGCTGTGGTTGGCGCCTTAAAAACAATGGTCTACGTATGAAATTCCAAAATTGTGAACCATTTTATAGCCTTACAGATATTGCAATATTTCTCTTGCCATCTAAATGGTTTGAAATACCTAAGTCTTCATTGACCTGGGTTTTAGGAGCAAAGTTGGTAAATGCACATTTCGAACTGAGTACAGCGGTGAGCGAGTAGGAAAATCCTTTCCTGATGCGTAGTTACTTGGTAATGTAGCCCAGGTAATTGACTCAAGAAAATGATCAATTATTGTATCTATCTTTCAGGTTCAGTTATATGTGCAACTCACAAGTACTCAAAAAGGCTGCAAGATGCCTAGCTAGCAACTGCTCCAACCAGTTTGAAGGAAGAAGGGGTGTGTTTCTCCACAGGTAAATAGAAGATTTCTTTTTCAGTTAAGTCTGAGAGGATGTTTTAGAAATGGATATAAATTGCAGTTAGTATTGTTCTTTGTGTTTTGTCATTTGTGAGATAGTCTCTGTTCATGTTTTAATGTGGATACATCACAATCCATAACAACAGTTGGCCATAAGGACAATATTGATTAAACAATGGTTTGTTAAGAGCTCAGTAGCATCAAGATGCAGTGAATATAAATGTATAGTTACTACAAAGGGTATTTCATTTGAACAAACCTCCACCCAGCCCCTTGTTACCAGTTATTCAACACATTAACAGATGCCTGTCATTTTTTCACTTTCTAGGTTTCCTCAAGACCCAGGTGTGTACAGCGAAAGGACTGGCGCATTCAGGTGAAGATGGACTGGCGGCAACATGTGTCGGAAGGGGGCAAGCTTGGTCATGCGGCACACTTCATGATGAGGGCTCCTTCGATTGCACAGACCAGTTTGGCTGTGCTATGGTGCAGTCCCATCAGGTCTTTCTTCCCTGCTCACCTGCAGGTGAGTGGCATATAGTTGTGCAAGGTGAGCAGAGTCCACTGCTGTGTCATTGCTAACATGTGAAAGCAGCCCATGATCTGTTTATACTGTTACAACATACCATACCAACTTTGAGCACAATCATTCCAGATGTTTGTGAGAAATAGATACGTGTTCTGCACATGTACAATTGTGTACACATACAATACCTAGTATGCCTCAAGTGATTGCTTAAACTTATAAGGCACTCATCAGATTGGTCTCCAACCAGTGTCCCAATTTTGTATGCAATGCATCCTGCCATTCTGGAGTCATAAAAATACCCAGCACGCGCTTGCACCCAAACCACATTTCTCATTGCATTGCCAAGGGAAGTGGGTGCCCAACAACACACAAAGTTTCATCAAAATGTGTCCAGGCATTAAATAGGAGTTACTGCAAACAGAACAGATTTGGCACCGATGATTTAGTAAGTGCCTGGTGGAACGTGCCGAGTTGACTCCCCAAATGCTTGTTGACTCCCCAAAAACAATGCGTAATTTCAAGGAAGAATGGCTAAGCTACACAACATGATAACTGTTCGCTAAACAGCATGTATGGCTGCAAAGATATGGGCCTCTCTAGAATGCTTGATACCAAGTTTGACAGTTCATACTCTTTTAACCCGATATTTTTTGAAGTTACATCAAGATTTTTCGATAATCAATCTCATTTCTTTCTCGCTCATAAATATTTGCATTCCATGGACCATGATTGATCGCCTCATGTGTGAATGTGTGTGAACATGTCAGTGTGTGCATGTCATTGTCGAGTCCGCTCATCGCCCTATCCCTATAGGAGAACTAAGAAGTAGGCATGATTGGTTGTTTTTATTTTCCTCAGGACCATTTCAATAGCTGCCAGAGCAGCGGGGGCTGAAGCAAAGGCTAGAGAAAGCTGCGACTAGGACGTTGGCCTGTTCCAAGCAGTCTCGAAACGCACACAAGAACGGGAAAATGTCGATCCGGACAGCACGCCCCAGGGAGCGTCACTCGTCAGAGGCGGTCTCGACGGGCAGGCCGGGCGGTGCCCAGGGAGCAGCGTCACCCGTCTGTGGCTGCCCCGATGGGCAGGCCGGGCGGCACTCCGGCAGCAGCTGCATCTGTCTGTAGCGGCCCCGACAGCAGGCCGGGCGGCACCTTGGGAGCAGTGGCACACGTTTATGTGTGGGGTGGCCCCGACGGCAGACCGGGCAACAGAGGCAGTCTACAGGGAATAGCGGCACCCGTCTATGGTGGCCCCGACGGCAGGTCGGACACCGAGGCGGCTCCCAGGGAGCAGCGGCACCCGTCTGTGGCGGCATCGACGGCAGGACGGGCGGTGCTGATGTAGTAGCGTCTAGTTTGCTGATAAACGTTAGCGATATAGGCATTATCCTAGTCACCATGCTCAGGCGCGTCGATGATATGCTTGTGCTAGGATAAGTTCAACCTAGAATTCTGACCTTACGTCACGTTGATCTAAGAGGGCCGTATAACTCATTTCGATTTTGACGGTCTTCAGTCCATTGGTGACTGTCCCGACTCGCCAGCTCAATTTAATCGAATGATTTACCTAAAACTCCGACTCTGGCTTTGTGACGTAATCTATGTCGCTAAACTAAACGGTGCAAAAGTTAAACATTGGTTTACAAGATGTGTAATGTGTATTATCTCATGGTTTCGTGCGTTTGCATAATCTTCAATCATTTTCGGCACCAAAATAGCAGTTACCACCTTTCCCCATTGACTTGTGATGGCGATGTCACGTGACTGACCTGACCTCAGGTGACCATCAGGAAAATATTAGATATACAAGCTATAAGGCCTCTGGAGGGTACAAGGTTCTGTTAGTTTGATCTCCCTGTGAAAGCTCCTCTGGCACTGAAGGCATTGCGAAGTTGCGGCATGTCATGACCGCGCGGTGGCTCTATTATGACGTCATAGGTCAGTGACCGGGCATGACCTGAAAGGGTGATTAGTGTCATAAGATCCGGATTTAACGAAAGGTCAGTTGTACCAACTTTCAGCTCTCTGAGGCCAGCGTGTACCGAACAAGCACGAGTAAACCGTCTGGGAACAAGGGGTGACTAATCCCTCGCTGCGGTACGGTACGATGATGGAAAATTGTTTTCAAATACATTTGGTGAGGCTATAGGCTCTAACTAATTATTTCATAACCATACTGGCCATCTGCAGCCTCCCAATAACTCAAAAATCGGTTTGGAAAACGGGCTCGAAACCGCTCCACCCCCATTCACTTTACCGTGCTGTAGCAAATGCGAGTCTATGTAGACGGCTGCCCCAACATGGCCGCCTGACCTACATGTTCGCTAGTATGGGGAGCCAATGGGCGTGTCCTATCTAGTCTGTATATCTATGGTAGCCGAGCAGGCTGTTTGGTACTTCTTCACTACTTCTTAGAAGTACCCGTTAGTACCGATCATGTCTCACATAATAAGCTATTGGAACAAAAATATCCATGTTCTTCTAATTATTCTCCTTTCACACTTTGAATAAATACTTTTGAAATGCATTTACTAATTAATTTCACAAAAACGGCTTGAAATTTTACAACGTCAAAATACTTATTCCAATTTCCACCATGAAACCACCACTATATTACTTGCTTACAGAACCGTGCGCACAGTGCGCGCAGTTTTATCGTGACGTCAGAGGGTGCTTCCTCAGTGGCGCCCTCTGGCGGGGAACGCGTGCAAAAAGTCCAGCTCTTAGGCATGTCCCGTGGCAGGGTGAAGGCGTATCTGCCGAACTTGGACGTTCGAGAAGATTCGAATCCGTGAGCCTAGTTTCAGGAGTTGGTTTGGTTTGTTTCTTTTTCTTTGTTTTTGGGCTCTGGCTCTGAGCCGAGGATCGGGGTGAGTCGTTCCTGGAGTCTTTTTGCACGGCAAAAGACTTGGTTAGGTTTCTCTTGATCTCTGTCACCGATGGGATAGATCAGGAGGATGGGGCCAAGTAGGGCCAGTAAGAGAGTGCGAGAGGACGACACGGTTGTTAATTTCTGGAGTGAGGATGATGATTCTGGCAGCTATCTTTCCGTTAAGCTGCAGTCCGGGCAGCCTCTGAAGGAAAGAGGGTGGCCATGGATTCAGATGTGTGTCCGTGGGATTCTAGGATCCAAAGACAAAGTGGACAAAGCAAACTTTTTGAATGATGGTAGATTACTACTTAAAACCAAAGACAGTGCCCAAACCGAGAAACTATTGAAAGTGTGTAAGTTCGGAGATGAGGCGTGTGTGATCGAGAAGGATGAAAAGCTAAACCAGAGCCGGGGGACAATCAGTGCCCCTGATCTCATGGGCCTTCCTGAGGATGAAATCGTTGGTTGGTTGTCCAGCTTCGGGGTGGTTGCCGCCCGTCGATTCACTCGGAGAGTGGGCAATCACACGGAGAAAACCCCCATCATTCTACTGACATTTGACAGGCCCACATGTCCTTCCAGACTCGAATTTGACTATGTGGTATACCAGGTTCGCCAACACATTCCCAACCCACTTATATGCCTGCAATGTGGGAAGTACGGCCATATGCAGGCAAGGTGTCAGGTTGAGGCAGTGTGCCTTAAGTGTGGTGAGCAGAAGCACGAGGGCACATGTTCCCAAACATGCATCCACTGTGGCGATGGCACACATGACTGTCTTTCCCGGCAATGCCCCAAGTGGAAAAAAGAGAAAGCTATTTGTGAAATCAAAGTCACCAGGGATGTCTCCTACGCCCATGCGCGTCGATTGTATGACAAGGAAAATCAAACCCCAAACATTAGGCCCTTCACCACAGTGGTGCGGGGCAACAGTGTCAGTGATACTCCGTCGGATCCATCCCTCAAAGCACAAGTGAGCACTATCGAACAGAAACTGGACAAAATGATCACCCTCTTTGACAGGTTCTTACAGCTCCAGACAGGACCAGGGAGGAGTGATGTCAGTGCACGAGAGGAAAACCAAAGAGGGCAGGGAACCCCGGTCTCTGGACAACCCCCTACTCCAGCAGCTACAGCCCCCCGGCCTTCGGTGCAACCCATTATTGACCAAGACAGTGAACAACAAAGGCCCTCCGAGATGATGGACTCTCAGGCTCTAACCATCTCCACCATGTCCCACTCGGATACAGCCCAGGATGTCCCTCAGAACAATCCTGACACAATGGACTCGCAGGCTGTAACAGGTGGTTCCCAGGAATCCCTGTTCTCAATGACGGGTTCCCCACCCTCTGCAGTGCCGGACCCGGAACCCCTGACTGAACCATTGACCGATGATTGGGACACAACCTCACAGCAGAGTGCCAGGCAGAGTTGGAACCCACAGGAACCCCAGTGTTCTGAGGCAAAGCTAACTCCTGAGTGCTCCAAGGATAGACACAGGGAATCTTCATCTCCTGGAGGGCTAGGAGGACTCTCCGACGAGAGTGTCTCCCCATCCCCTCCAATAGGACTCAGGCGACAGGGAGGCAGTGCAGGAAGGGGCCGGCGTATGCCGAGCCTCACCAGGAAGCCCCCCGCCCCTACCTAGTTCAGAGGGAGAGAGAAAGGAGAGAGAGGTAGAGAGGCAGGAATTTACAGAAGGTAACTTTTTTTTCTTCTTTTCTTCTCTTTCTCTTTCTTTTCCTTTTCTTTTTTGGTGACAGGGGCCTGCTGTGGCAGGGCCCGTGATCTTGGTGTAACTAGTGAGCATTTATGGTGTTAAACATACTACAATGGAATGCCCGTGGCCTGATTGGCAAATGGGCTGAGGCTAAACATATGTTTACATGTGATCCATATGAGGTGATATGTGTCCAGGAGACCCATTTCATCCAAAACGATAAATATTCTTTCCACATCCCCTACTGTACAGAATACAGTGACTTTGCTCCACAAGGTGACAGGCGGGGCGGTGTCACTATATATGTGTCTGACAGGCTGCCTCACCATAGGCTTCATATACAATCCACGTTACAAGCGGTAGCTTGCACGATTCGGGTGAACGATCGGAGCATAACCATGTGTTCCTTGTATTTGCCACCCAATGACCCATTCTCATTCCAGGATTTAGCACACCTGCTCTCTCAGCTCCCTACCCCATATCTTATTTGCACCGATGCGAATAGTAAGCACTACTTGTGGGGCTCAGATCGCTGTGACCCTCGAGGTATAATTTGGATGGATGTTGTGAATCACCATGATCTTCGCATTCTCAATGACGGCCAGCCGACTCGACTGGATGAAGCCACTGGTGCAGAGTCCCATATTGACCTGACCTTGGTTTCCAGTGAAATTGCTCACCTGTTTGACTGGACAACAGACAAGGACTTGCACGGCAGTGATCATTTCCCGATACATATTCGTCATTGCCAGTCTTACCCCTCCCCTAGTTTACCACCCATATTCACCGGGTGGAATGTGAGGAAGGCTGATTGGACGATGTTTCAGATGAGCTGCGATCTACAATTTGCTGACAGTTTGGGTCTCCAAAACTGTGCGAATATCACACAGACTATCATTGACACCGCGATGACGTACGTACCCATCCGGAAAGGGAATTCCAAATATCAGTGCCCCTGGTGGACAGACGCCTGCAGGGAGGCGATAAGGAACCGACGTAGGGCACATAACCGAATGCGTCGAGACGTTCATTCTGTATTTCTCCGATTGGAGTACCGTAAGGTGAAAGCGCAAACTAGACGGATCCTTCGGCAGGCACAAATGTCATCGTGGAGAGAACTGGTATCACTGTTTAACCATCGTACTCCGATGAGTAAACTATGGGATATCTTGAGGAAGTTCTCTCACAAAACCAGGCTAACTAGACGCTTACCAGTCCTTGTCCAACATGACAGAGTTATTGATGACCCCACAGAAGTGGTTAACACCTTCGGGCAGTTCTTTGAGGAACTTAGCTCGCCAGCTAACTACTCCAGGGACTTCCTGCTCAGAGAACGAGACATGGCAAGGTCAATGCCAAGTTTTTGCTCGGACAACCAGGAAGTTTACAATAGAGAGTTTTCACTCAGGGAGTTAACAGAGGCTATTCATCGATCAGGTTCAACCTCGGTAGGACCAGATCAAATACATTATGATTTCTTTCGCCATATGACTGACCCTCAGCTTCGGCATCTTCTGAAGCTGTATAATTATATTTGGACAAACGATGTTTTCCCCTCAGAATGGCGCCATTCTTACCTGATTCCCATTCCGAAGCCAGGAAGGGATGTCAACCAGGTTTCATCTTACCGACCTATACAACTTACGTCGTGCATGTGCAAGTTAATGGAACGCATGATTGGGAAGCGTCTAACGTGGTGTGTGGAAGAGCACGGGCTACTCACCAAATATCAATGTGCGTTTAGGCCTGATAAATCCACGGCTGACCATCTTGTCCGTCTGGACACACATGTACGTGACGGTTTTCTTCACCATGCCAGCACTTTGGCTGTGTTCCTCGATATAAAATCGGCATATAACTTGGTCTCCCCTACGGTATTACTCCATCGCATGTATGCTGCGGGTTTCCGAGGTCACATCATGCATTTTATTCAGAATTTCTTGAAAGATCGCACCTTTCAGGTCCGTTGCGGCACATTATCTGATACATTTATGCAGAATTATGGCATCGTGCAGGGGGGCGTGATTTCACCTATCTTATTCAACCTTGCCATCGATTCCATCGCCGACGTGCTACCCCCAGGAGTTTCGTACGCAATTTATGCTGACGATGTCACCATATGGGTGCAAGGGCGGCGAATCCCGAAGCTATTTCGGAAATTGCAAGATGCCCTTAACAATATTGGTGAGTGGGCTTCAGGCACTGGGTTTACATTTTCTAGTACCAAGTCTAATGCGATCCTTTTCCGACGTGGATTACGAAGGGTCGACCTATCAGTGTTCCCTCCTTTGTGCATTAATAATGACCCCATTCCCATTGTTGATGAGGTGAAATACCTTGGAGTTATTCTCGACTCCCGAATGAACTTACATTCCCATGTAGAGTATATTAAAAGCCGGGTCCAAAAGAGGATGGCCGTGCTTAAATGCGTCGCTGCAAAGAGCTATGGGGCAGACCGAATCATATTGACCCGAATGTATAAAGCAATGATTCGACCAATCTTGGAATACGCTTCATACATTATCGATGGTCCACACACGCGACGAGTCGAATCTCTCGAGACTCTTCAGAATGCATGTTTGAGAGTTGCAACGGGGGCCTTACGCACCTCTCCTGTTCGAGCATTGCAGGTTGATGCCGATATTCCCCCGTTATCTCTCCGTCGCAAAGAGTTACTCCTTCGGTATTTTCTGAAGGTTTTGAGTGATGAACACCACCCTTGTCACAGTATAACAGACTTGACCGCCTCCGAGGAGCTCTACCGAGGATTATCAGACCAATATCTTCGCAGAATTTCTGGATTCACGGTGTGCTTACGCCTCCAGCGCATGATTGCCGACTTCGATTATGAACCACCGACAGGCCTTGTCAAACCCTCAGCGCCTTTGGCACCGTGGATTCTGCCGTGTGTCACGACGAGCCTGCTAACTAACCAGGATAAAGCGAGCCGCTCCACGATAGACGTGCAGGCCGAGTTTCAGACTCTTATCAGCGAGTACCCTGGATATCGGATACTGTATACAGATGGATCCAAGCGGCATGAGTCGGTGGCTTGTGCATTCACCATTAACAATGCTTTCTTTTCGTTTAAGTTACCGGAAGGTCTTTCTATTTATACAGGCGAGCTAGTAGCTATACTAGAAGCCCTGAAGTTTGTCTGCACCCATCGCATTCCACGTTCCTTGATATGCACCGATTCTCAATCGGCTGTGAAAGCGTTAGGCATGGCGCACGGCACCACGAGGCACCCGCTACTTACCTCTATATTAGAATTAAACCATCGCATTGCCGAGGATGGAATGAGGTGCATTCTCATATGGGTACCGGGACATAGCGGCATAGCTGGAAATGTGCGAGCTGACTATTGGGCCGGGAAAGCACATGACAAACCAGAGGTTACACCGGTCGCAGTTGGTTATCGTGAATATGTCCCAGAGGTCCGACGGCGCGTTCGAGACCAATTTGCTACCTTATGGCAAGAGTTTCGGCCCACTCACCTTAAGACGATTAAGCCTACCATAGGAAGGTGGACGTCTGGCGCTCGTGACAGTCGCCAAGAAGAAGTAGTGCTGTGTCGCCTGAGACTTGGCCATACACTCCTTACGCACTCGCATGTCATGGATCGTGCCCCACCACCGTTGTGTACACTTTGTCGATGCATTATCGATGTCAAACATCTCCTAATTGATTGCCCTCAATATCGCACGACACGCCAACGTTTGCGACGAACATGTGGAGATGCTGGTCTCCCGTTCACAATGGCGACTCTGCTCGGTGATACAGAACCAAATGTATTGGACGCAGTGTTTCTTTTCTTGCGCGATTGTGAGCTGCTTGACAAACTGTAAATGCGGCGGGTTCTATTGATATACCGGAATTGACAGTATTTCTAACAACTGTGTAATGTTTGATTGGCGGCTACTTATTTGCCGCCCCCACTGATGATGTTGCTTTTGCCTGTTTTTGTGTGGTGATTCTAGGCTTTGGAAACTTTCTTTCGGTGTGTTTTGATTACTGATTCGTCTCTGTGGAAGTATAATGTGAACGTTACGGGAGGTCCAAGTGAAACAAAGGTGCACTCTGAGCACATGTCCTCTGTGGTTCGTGTTTTCTCTTCTCTCCTTTATTTTAGTATTTGGTAGTATATAGCTAGCTTGTAGAGTGGTCTGAATTTCTCTCGCTCGCTCTCTCTTTCTCTGATTACCTGGTAACACTCTGGCTAGAAGAGTATTGATCTTTCTTTCATCATTTTGTAGATTGCTGCCCAATTAAACTAACACTAACACTGCTACTCAGGTCTGTTCCTTCTGGCTTAATCCTTCCCCGGCAATTTCCTCCCCTGGCATTTGTCCTTCCCTAGGTTTTTTCCTTTTCCGGCTACCCACAACCCTGCTTAGTTACCGCTTAGTACCTACCAACCCCGACACTACATCGTGGAAGATCGGACAGTTGAATGCAAGAAACGAAGAAGTTGGACGCTAGGGCCTGACGGCTGCGCGCCCTAACCCACAAAGAAGAAGAAGAAGGGCCTTGGGTCAGGGTGTGAAGACCCAAGGTGGTGAAGACCGGTTTCGGTGAACGAGCGAGAGTGCTGAAAATCTAGTTTCTTCACGACTTCTTTGCTCAATGCTCAGTCATGCGTCTGTTAGCTTTCTAGACAACTGAGGTCGGAGTGATAAGTTTCCTTGCCTTGGCACTCAAGTCGGCGCTGTCTTTGGAGAAGCTCGGGCGTCGATCAGCGGAAGCCTGGAAGGCGTTTTGGTCCTCAAAATTTAAGTGGTAAGTAAATGAGCACTCACAGCTCTCTCTCTCTCTCTCTCTCTCTCTCTCTTTCTTTCTTTCTCTCCCTCCCGGCTCCCTCTCCTCATCCCCCTGTCCTCTGACAGTCTGACCAGAGTTCAGAATTCACTACCCATACAGAAACAATGGTCCAACCATCTTTTATCCTTTCTCCTCCACCTCTCCCGTCTCCATGAATTTTCTCTTCTTCACCACATCCTTTTTTTTGCCCCTCTCATTTCTCCATCACATCATTCTCACCTTAGGCTTAGGTACTCACCTTTCCTCCATTCATTCTATTCATCACCTCCATTCTCCCTCATTCAGTTACCTCTGAATTTCACCTCTCTCTCTCTCTCTCTCTCTCTCTCTCTCTCTCTCTCTCTCTCTCTCTCTCTCTCTCTCTCTCTCTCTCTCCCCCTCTCTCTCTCTCTCCTCTCTCTCTTCTCTGTCTCTCCCTCTCTCTCTGTCTCTCTCTCTCTCTCTCTCTCTCTCTCTCTCTCTCTCTCTCTCTCTCTCTCTCTCTCTCTCTCTCTCTCTCTCTCTCTCTCTCTCTCACACATAAATAATATTGCTGCTTTGTTAGGCTAGTAATGCCACACTAACTTTTTGTGTTATGTAGTTCAATGCTGATGGTCGCTCTTGTGTTTTATGAGGACTCTGGGCGCTGTCCGTCATGCTGCTGCTCCTGCCAGTCCTGCTACTGACCAGCCAGACGGCAGCCGATTCGGATGTCTCCCGCATGCAGCAAGTGCTCGTTCTCGGCGGCAACGGCTTCATCGGCGCCGAGAGCGTCACGGCGCTGCTGCGCCAGAAAGGACGCTACAACGTGACGGTCGTGAGCCGCGGCTCGGAGCGCTACGACGCGCGTGACCGCGTGCTGCAGCACGTGCGCCAGCTCAGGTGTGACCGCTACACGCCGTGCCGCCGCTGTCCGAGCGGTAACCCGCTGCTGGGCTGCGAGGAGCTGATGGCTGCCCAGAAGGAGGTGACTCAGTGGGATTTTGTCATAGACTTCAGCGGCTATGACGCCGACGCCGTGAGCCAGGCGCTGGACGCGCTGGCAGAGAAGATGAAGTACTATGTGTTCATCAGCTCCGACTCGGTGTATGAGGTGAGTGTTGAGCTAGGGATCCTATAAATCGGTAATTTTTAGCTACTGTCTACTGCCTCTCGATAGGCGTTCACTTTCAACATTCACGTTCACCGGCTCAACAAAAAGTACCTGTAACTTTGCACCACCGATAGTACCTATTTTTGACATCTTATCCTTTTACGACTAGACGTCGTTGACTGAATTATATGCGCCAGCTGCGACCCATATTGATGTTTTCTCGTCGTGCATGGCCCCGATTGACCGGTTTTACCTGGCACTCCCTCTCTCCCTCCCACCTTTGCCGCCAGGTGTGTGAGCCGAGCACGGGCGTACTCTCTCATGAGGAGGCCGCAGTACGTCCGTCGGACCGGCGTCGGCGGCACGACTTGGCCTCCCGCGACTCATACGGCGATGGCAAGCTGTCGGCGGAGGAGGTGCTGCGCGCGCGCGCCGTGCCGCACGTGGTGCTCCGTCTGCCAGACGTGCTCGGTCCGCGAGACACCACGGGCCGCTGGTGGGCCTACCAGCTCTGGGTGCAGTACGCGGGTGTCCTTCGTCGCCCGGTGCCCATCCCACCCTCAGTGCGCACACTCCGCACTAGTTACGTGTTTGTCTCGGACGTGGCACGTGCACTAACAGCCGCGCTGAACCGCTCCAAGGAAGTCAACGGGAAGGCGTTCAACCTGGCGCTAGACCGTGACTTCCGTCTGGCTGAGCTTCTTGGTGAGATAGCGCGTGAGCTAGGTGTGCACAGTGTGGTGACCCGGGAGGTTAATAGTGAGAACGTGGCGCGCTTCTTTCCGTCCGTGTACCGCGGTCCGGTGAGCTGGCGGCGCGCCCGCGAGCAACTCGGCTTTGAGCCCACCCCTTGGCCGGAGGTGCTGTCCGAGACTGTGCGATTTTACCGGCGGGCACTGGTCAGATTTCCAGAGGAGCGGCGCAGGGTGTTTGGTGTGCTGGAGAGTATATTCGGAGATGATCCTGATGTGCAGCGACGGCTCGTGGAAAGTATCGAACGTGACCTGTTGGACGCCTCTTTTGGAAAGAGGGACGATGGGGAGGTGGGAGAGAGTGGGGAGGGTTTGGCGACGGAGGGCGGGGAGGGAAAGGATGAGCTGTAAATGTGAAGCCGCCAGTAGGGAAATTATTCGTGCAACTCATCGAGCTTGAGTTTGGGTACAACTTATGTGATGTGGGTTATGTGATGCCTACAGGTCTTCATATTTGTGGTTTATATCTAGTGCCTTGTTGTGTGGCCTTGTAGCAGGTTTTTTATTTTTATTGTAAGTGAGGCTGTTCATATTTTTGATACCTACTGACAATGACCACATTTTTGGTGGCTTTGTAGTTTTATAGGGAATGGGAATTAGCCAGGTGCAAGTGCAATTACACTGAGTAGGTATGCCTTGTCTGAAACGGAGCTTATATACACCAAAAAATAAACATTTCTATCAGACGATGTGGGCACTTTCGGGGCAATGCGAGCCCTCACCGTCGATGAAAGGACAAGTAGGTAGGTATGGCAGTTAAAACAATAAGCAAGGTCAGGTTGGTGAAGTGGCGAGACTCGGCCAATGCATCCGAATTTGAATTATGAATGCTTCAGGTGATCTTAGAAGCTTGCAATTGCAACACATTGTTTTCAAGTGTTTGCGATCATTGCATGATCATCGCAAAAATTGATGCGTAGGTTAGGTTATAAACAAAACAATTCGGATAAAACATCGCGTAGCTTTCAAGGTCATCCACTGGTAAAGCTGAAGTGTATATAAATAAATTTATAAACTCAGTTCTGAAAAGTCTTGAAAGTTTCTTGACGCAATAATGACGTCTAAAAGCTACATTTTCTTTGCTCCCCAATGAGAAGCAGGTGCAAGGCTCCCGGATACAATTCAAAGTGACGTCACTAGGTGCCGAGTCACAAGCAGCAAGTGTCTTATAACGAGATATCCAAGAGATATCTATATTACTATTTTTGCATACCTTGGTGACTGCGACGTACCGCCTCGTCTTTTGTCTATTGTATTGTCGGGGGCTGTTACTTGTACTTGTTGGGTTAGGGCGCATAGCCTCGTTGGGCTCAAGCGTCCATAGTTGTCGTCATCAGTGCGCCACTCTTGTCTCGATCGAGTCTGATGTTGCAGTCGGTTGCAGCCATATGGTTCAGAGCGTTCAGAGGGAAACTAAGCAGATGAAGGAAAATGATAGGTTTAGCATGGGGATATACGCGGGCTTTGGATAATGTCCAGGCAGGAAATATCCGGTGGAGTATAATTAGTAAAGTTAGTATCTAACATATACCTGGTTAAAACTTAAAAATAAGAAATAAAAAGGTAGTTTCGGTTCTTGAGTCATTCAATCAATAACGTTCTTGACACCACATCTGTCCAGTGAGCTATTCCAGTTCAAAAAGATCTTCCGGCAACGTCTGCTCTTGGTACCTTACTCAGTTATCAACATGCGTTGGAGGGTTCATGATCATACCGAACCTCTACTTCGGAACTATGTGACTACTTCTACAAAAAGGAGCCAGATTGAACAAAAGAGTTAAGAAGGTATACATTAGGGGTACCCATTTTTGGGTCAATTTTTCAAATTTTAGGTGGGGGTGGATTTTCCCATTATTTGGTCTATTCTGATTCCATCTGTGCCAAAAATACCGAAATCAAACCATTTCTAGGGGTCGCGAATTCAAATTGAAAATGCCAATTTTAGCGAAAAATCGGCCAAATTAATACTATTTAATTTTGGAACAAGGTTACCATGCCAACAAGTTGGGGTCAATTTTCCCATTATTTGGTCTATTCTGATTCCATCTGTGCCAAAAATAACGAAGGCAAACGATTTTTGGGGGTCACGAATTCAAAATGAACATGTCAATTTTAGCAGAAAATCGACCAAATTACCATTATTTTATGTTGGGACAAGGTTACCATGCCAACAGGTCGGGGTCGATTCTATCATTATTTGCTCTGTTCTGGATCTATAGCAGTGACAGAGGTAACGATATTAGATCACTTTTATGGGTCGCAAGCTTGCATTGGAGTATTAATTTTAGTGGAAAAATGACTTCATTTGAACGACTATAAATATGCAAAGCCAACGTGTTCCAGTGGTATTAATGGCTGTTAGACACCGTGCAACATTGCTTTAGTTGTAGCCTGTAGGTATATTCGACGTGCAGCGGTAAAAGAGAGCACCAAAAATATAATTTTGGTCAATGAACAGCATATGCTCATTTACACTCACTCTGGCTTAGACCGTCATTAGCACCTACACAAGACCGCAACTCTTAGAACGAATGGCTATGTCGTCAGGGGGCTAAAATCAGCGATCGAGGCTTTCTCATTGGAACCACCTAATTTTCAATGAGTCGTCTCATTCAGCAAAGGAAATGAGCAATCCCCAGGACATGAACATTGACCTATCGATACAATTTGGGTGGAAGGGGCATTAAAAACCGTTACGGTTTAACCATATAACTCGCATGCCGTATTTTAACGGAAATATAGCATAAAGTAGATAAAGAAGTTATCAATTGCTTCTGTATATCTATACCGATATAAAAACAGCACTAAGCTATGCCGGTATGCATGAATGATGACCTTTGCCAATTTGCTAGCCGACCTCCCCGAGTCCCGGAGTTGCAGAGACGGATGAGGGAGGGGCGCAAGCCTTACACCACCGTCGGGTGGCTGCTGTATGAGTTTAGCTTTGCCCCTCCCCCACAAACACCCAAACCCGCACACAGCATGTGCGTTTGAGCATATGGAAAGGAAGCTGGCCAAGAACATCACAGGACAGTAACACCGAAACTCCATCCTCGCCCCATTATGAAAGAAATATGTTTGCAATTTTGCTCGTGACTCCAATTCTGGGCATGTGTCACTTCTATACCAGCTGATGACTTGAGACGGGTGCAGATAGCATGACATGGAACCAGTGCCTGGTGACGGCCGCTGCCAGCAATATCCTTTCAAGATAACGGACCTTACACTGCACACTGCACTCTACATGCTCAGTCCAAACCCTCAGCTGATGTTGAACTGAAGTCGACGAATGCCATCCGTCTCCCTCATCCGTCAACCGTCTCTGCAACTCCGGGACTCGGGGAGGTCGTCTAGCAAATTGGCAAAGGTCATCATTCATGCATACCGGCATAGCTTAGTGCTGTTTTTATCTCGGTATAGATATACAGAAGCAAAACGAAGATGAAGATGAAGATGAAGATGTCATTGCCTAAAGCTGGAAATTAGGAGGAAGGTGCCAATGTCTAGACGGCTCAGCCAACTCCGAGGTAGAACCGTTTACTGACTCCTGGCATTGTCTGGGGGCCGACACAGTGGGTGGGCCATTGACCTTAGGTGGCGGACCTGGTTCTCCTCGTCTTCAGTCTCTGCACGCACACTCCCTCATATGATGCATCCTGGTACCACCATACGGCCCATGCAGGATGAAAATCTCCTGCTACATTAGTTTCTTCAAACTCAGACGCCAACTAGGTACCTGAGATCACAAGTGATCTGTGCAAGAAGCTGTGAAAGGTCTTCGTCACATATCAACCATGCACGTATCAGCGCATGGCTAGTCGCCTGTGGTCGAATATGAACTCGTAAATGATCTGCAGTTGTATCGGAAACTCTTACACAAGAACGGTGTGTATCTGTCCCCACTGAAGAAATGGAATAGTACATGATTGGTGGGCATGGAAAGAATCGACGCTTTCGAGTTTGTTTTCGGATTAGAAGTTGATATTTTTGGGTAGAACACCCAGATTTATCCTACCCTGTCTCATCGTAGCCGTGAGCGATCAGGACGGAGTTTCTTGTGGAAGCATACGGTAAAAATGGTTCGATCGTTTTTTAATTACATGATTTGAAATCCATTCGAAGCCATGATCTGTGAGATGTATCCTGAGCTCATTTGCACAAACTTAAATTGTATGGACACAAAGAGCCTGTCATGAACAGAGACGTGGCAACTGAAAGGTCACATTTTAATTTGACCTCACAGGTCATCAAAGGTCACCATTACAACTCATGACCTTCAAGAGGCAGAAGATTTCAAAAATGATTACACGCTGACCAGAATGATACCAAGAACAGGGGCAAAACATCCCGGGCCGGGATGTTTTGCTCCTGTTGTTGGTCGCCGGGATTCCCGGCGCTTTTCACCAAATGTTACAATATCGACATCGTAATGATCGCTAGTAAAGCATTTAACCGGAACCACGTGATGGAGCACATCGATCTGGATGAGGAAATGAGCGCTCAATGACCCCTCTACCCGACTTTCAAAACAAAAACTTTGCCTTTAGTGCGATTTATTATCAGCGTCAAATAGGCATATTTCTAGGTAAATACGCAAATTTCAATCTCAATTCGCGACCCCTAAACCACCTTTGATTTTAATATTTTTGGCATCATTGGAATCACAAGTCGCGAAATAATGGGAAAAACCACCCCCACCCACAAATTTCCAAAATCGGGAAAAATGGGTACCCCTAGTATACATCCAAGAGAAATCGAGAAAAAAACTACAGTAGCAAACCAGTACAGGCTGCTCTTCATTCATCCACTGACTGCATCCATCTCTCACACCGATGTATCTCCACTCACGCATCCTTCTCATTCAACATTCAATATCCATTCACTCATCCCCAAACAATGCACGACTGTTTACACACATGAGGACGTCCATAAGACCAGCCACAGCACAGAACACAAAACACCAGAGAGACGACGATAAAGTGAACAATCAACGCAAATTACAACAGAAGGAGATCACGTCAATGTGCCAAATCGGCGGCACTGCCCTCCACATCAGTCGCGACAGGGGTTCGCCAATCGGCGGCCAAACTCAACATAAACCAATAATTACACATTTAAATAACTTAAAACACCAAAATCACAACTAGTTCAGCGCATATCATTGCAGTCACAGCTTTTTGAAGAGGTTGATAGCTCGTAGAAACCTGAAAACCTCGTCGATGATGTCCGGGTGATGATCACCCAGAAGAGTTTTAAGGGTAAGTGGAACATTCAATTGGAGGCACTTCCGTACAATCAATTGTCGATGGGTGGCATACGTTGGGCACTCAACAAGTAAATGTTTGACTGACTGGGGACACATACATCGGTCACATTCAGGTCTGGGCTCTCTATCTATTATATGCCCGTGCGTATACCGTGTATGCCCTATTCGCATGCGACATAACAAAATTTCTTCCCTCCGACTGGTCCGTCTACAAGATGACCATGAACCGACTTCATCCTTGATCAGTTTCAAGTTGGTGTTGGGGTTATACTGCTGCCAGCACTGATTGAACAGGCGACGGACAGACAACCCTATATCGGGATAGTACTCCTTGGGACCCATTTCAAGGACTGTTATTTGTTCCATCGAGATAGCCTCCCTTGCCAGACGATCGGCTAACTCATTCCCAGTGATGCTGCAGTG